CAGCTCTGTCCAGAACCCTCTGTTGTGATCCCGGTCAGAGCAGTGAGTGGTGGTAGCCGGGCACCATCTGGCTGTACTAGACTCAGTCTGGTGGAGGCTACTTTATTTTTAAGTTTTTATTGTGTAAAATTTATTTGCCATTTCAACCATTTTATGTGCACAATTCAGTGACATTAATTACTTTCACCATGTTGTGCAACTACCACCATTTTTCATTTCCGATTGTTTTTCATCACCCTTACCAGAAACTCAGTACCCCTTAAGCAATATGCCTTCACTTTATTTTGGGGATCAAATCTAAAAATTCCTTAGCGTGGCATGCAGGGTCTGTCATGATCTGGTTTCCACCTACTTCTCCTCTCATATGCTCTGCTTCAGCCAAATCAAACGACCCCAGTTTCCCAAACATGCTGTGTTCTTTGATAGCGCTATTTCTTCAGCTCATGTTTATTTTCTCTGCTTTGGGAATACTCTTTGCTGGCGTAGTCCTCCTTACCTTCCCGGGATTCTTGGGGAACTTTTCTCTGACTCCTTCAGATTGAGTTAGGGGCCCCTTCTCCTGGGATCCTATGCATACCTTGAATTTCAGTCATTTACTTTTCTCATGCTAAACTGGGAACTTTTTTGGTGGACAAGGTTTCTGTCTTTTATGTGTACATTCCTCTCCTTCCCATGTATTTCATTAATCTGAATTTCTCACTATTTGTGACAGAGCTGAATCTTCTCTCCCTGTGAAATAGTGAATTCTTTATTACTAGAGGAGTCCTGGGTGGTGCAAACAGTTAACACACTCGACTGCTAACTGAAAGGTTGGAGGTTCCAGTCCACCCAGAGGCACCTCCAAAGAAAGGCCTGGCAATCTACTTCTGAAAACCAGCCATTGAAAACCCTATGGAGCACAGTTCTATTCTTGATGCACATGGGGTCTCCATGAGTCGGAATCAACTTAACAGCAACTGGTTGGTTTCATTTATTAGTGGAAGTTTTGACCAGAGACCCAAGACATTCATTTATAAGTTTAACAATTATTTTTGAACTGCTCATTCTGTGTCAAGGATTATGCAGTTGGTTTACTAATATTTGGAGGCATTTAGAGTCAAGCATCAGATTAAGGGTTTTGCTAGATGTAGCATTAAGTAGGCAATCTGGAAGTAGGACAAATTAAAGCAAGGATTTTTGAAGATACAAAATAAAAGAGAGGCTATTCCATAGTTTTATAAAGATTTACACAAAGGAAGGAAATATTAAGGAGAGTTTGTTTTTAATACGTATTTTTACAGCTGGTATTGAAAAATTAAATGACTCAGTGGTTATGTTAACTCATCAGTGTATGTATGCTAAGCTCAGAAAATACTTCTCCGTGGTCTATTTCCAAAAAGTACCTTCTGCCGTGATAGAAGGCAGGTAGATCCTGCCACACCCTCTACTGAATTGGTATGTGTAGATTTCTGGAATTTTTATTTTATTCAATATTTAAAAACTTACTAGAATTTTTGTTTTTAAATTTAATTTCTTTACAAAAATATTAGAAGTTTCTTAAGATAAATTAAGCTAGTATCAACTTTAAAACAATGCCAGAAGTGGTAAGTTAGTTTTATATGTGGACAACATATTTGTAGAGCCTCTGCACTGGCTGTCTAGAAATTGTATCAAAGCTACTTATTTTCCTCCTTAGTTTTACCTGGAAAGTACTGAAAAACGGGCAAAGACTAAAAGAAAAAATACCTCTTGTTTGGAATTAGAGTAGGATACTATATAATAAAAAAAAGTCTCCCAACCATCCATTCTCACCCCGTGCTGTTAACATTTTGGCACTTATTCTACTGACTTCTAAATTGTTGTTCTTGTTAAGTGCTGTCGAGTTGGTTCCGGCTCATAGAGACCCTGTGTACAACAGAATGAAACACTGCCTGATCCTGTGCCATCATCACAATTGTTGTTATGCTTGAGCCCATCATTGAAGCCACTGTGGCAATCCATCTCATTGAGGGTATTCCTCTTTTTTGCTGATCCTCTACCTTGCCCTCAGTGCAGTTTGGACCTCTTCCTTCAGTACCATCCTTCAGCAAAGGCATTCAGCTGTGTGGATTATAACAAATTATGGATAACATTGCAAAGAATGGGAATCCCGGAACACTTAATTGTGCTCATGAGGAACCATAGACCAAGAGGCAGTCATTTGAACAGAACAAGGGGATACTGCATGTTGTAAAGTCAGGAAAGGTGTACGTCAGGGTTGTATCCTTTCACCATACTTATTCAATCTGCATATTGAGCAAATAATCCAAGAAGCTGAACTATATGAAGAAGAATGCAACATCAGAATTGGAGGAAGGCTTATTAACAATCTGTGATATGCAGATGACACAACCTTGCTTGAAGAAAGTGAAGAGGACTTGAAGCACTTTCTGATGAAGATCAAAGACTACAGCCTTCAGTATAGATTGCACCTCAAACATAAGGAGAGACAGAAATCCTCACAATTGGACCTGTAAGCAACATCATAATAAATGGAGAAAACATTGAAATTGTCAAGGACTTCATTTTACTTGGATCCACAATCAACACCCATGGAAGCAGCAGTGAAGAAATCGAACGACATCTTGCATTGGGCAAATCTGCTGCAAAAGACCTCTTTACAGTGTTAAAAAGCAAAGATGTCACTTTTAGGACTTAGGTGCACCTGACCCAAGCCATGGTATTTTCAGTCGCCTCATATGCATGTGAAAGCTGGACAATGAATAAGGAAGACCTAAGAAGAATTGATGCCTTTGAATTATGATATTGGTGAAGAATATTGAATAGACCACGGACTGCCAGAAGAATGAACAAATCTGTCTTGGAAGAAGTATGGCCAGAATGCCCCTTGGTAGTGAGGATGGCGAAACTTCATCTTGCGTACTTTGGACATGTTATCAGGAGGGACCAGTCCCTGGAGAAGGACATCATGTTTGGTAAATAGAGGGTCAGCAAAAAAGAGGAAGACCTTCAACCAGATGAATTGCCACAGTGGCTGTAATGATGGGCTGAAGCATAACAACAATTGTGAGGATGGCACAGGACCAGGCAGTGTTTTATTCTGTTGTACATAGGGTCGCTATGAGTTGGAAACAAAGTCGATGGCACCTAACAACATCAACAACAGTCTTTACGGAAGCAGATCACCAGGTCTGTCTCCTATGGAGCGGCAGGTGGGTTCAAACCGCCGACATTTCTGTTAACAGCTGGACGCTTAACCACTGTGCCACCAGAGCTCCTGTTTTCACAGACATAGCAAATTGCTATTTGAGAAATATCTTACAGATTTCAAATTCACTCTTAAAAGGCAAATGGACTTACAGTCTTTATTGCTGTGGAACTTTTTCTAAGCATCTGAGGACCGCAATGGTCAACCCATGCATGGCTATATAGGTATATATTGGAAGATGGGTATTTGTTCTTAATATAGAATTTTTAAACAATTTATTTTGGCTTTTAGAAGGTGACTTTATTTTTTATTACTCTAAGATTTCATAATCTTTCCAGTCTGTGCAAATGTTTACTTGTTAATCTTTGAGAGTAGCTTTTTTTAATGATTATTTTGTTTTCTCTTCTTTTTACAGAAAGCAAGCATCACTGTGGGTCCAAGGAGACATTTTCCGATCCAAACTGAAAAATAGACCATCCAGTGAAGGAAGTATTAATAAAATTCTTTCTAGCTTGGATGACATGTCTATTAGTGGAAACTTGTCTAAAATACAAAATGTGGAGAGGTTTGGAGAGGTGAGTTTCTCCCAGGAAAGTTTTCATATCTCCTTAGACTAACATTCTATATTCTTTTTTTTTTTTAAATTGTCCTTTAGATGAAGGTTTACAGAGCAAATTAGTTTTTTATTAAAAAATACACATATTGTTTTGTGACATTGGTTGCCAACTCACGACATGTCAACACTCTCCCCTTCTGGATCTTGGGTTCCCCATTTCCAGCTTTCCTGTCCCCTTCTGCCTTCTCGTCCTTACCCCTGAGCTGATGTGCCCATTTAGTCTCGTTTTGTTTTGTGTGCCTGTCTAATCTTTGGCTGAAGGGTGAACCTCAGGAGTGACTTCAGTAATGAGTTAAAATGGTGTCTGGGGGCCATACTCTAGGGATTTCATTCTACATTTCTTTGTTTCCCAATGGAACACATATAATATAGCAATATCTGTTCTCTGAGGAGCTGAGAGTACCAAATTTTTAGGCTTGGAATCATCTACAAATAAAGTGAGAATCAGAGTAAAGAAAGCAATTACCCTTAAAAAGAAAAAGCTCTAATGTAAGGAGTACAATTATAAAGGAGGCTCTTCTGGGTTAGAGTATTTACAGGAAGAAAATGGAAGAGCGAGCTTTCTAGTTGAAAATTGAAATGGATATCAAGAAGAAAAATTTTGATGTGACAATTAAAGAAACAGTATAAATCACAAACGGTACTTTGAAAGCCTCAAATTCATTCTGATTTATGAAGTAAGTCTAGAGTTGAAAACGTAATTAGGGGCAAATTTTTTTTTTTTTAATTGAGGTTCTGCTACAAGCAAGCAAACCACTTTTAAACACCTGACATTCATTGTCTGGTTTAATCTTTATAACTACCTGATGAGTTAGGTAATGTGATCTCCATTTTACAGGCAAGGAAATTGAGTATCCAGAGATGTTCTAAACTCAGTGTTAGAGACAAGAATCAATCCATGTCTGTCTGATTCCAAACCTGTGTTTTTTCTATTACACCCTGCTACCTCTGAATTAAAGTGGAAGTGACTTTCTAAAATTAGGAACCACAGCCATTTTTGGAGCTATCAGCAACCTTGGAATCATTTATTCTAGTTCCCTTCTTGTACAGATAAGAAACTAGGTCCCAGAAAATTTGTTTGGTTGTGAGGCCAGCTTGAGAATTGGGCACCCAACTCCTAGTTCAGCTCTTCACACCATACTGTAGCTGAGGTGAAGCTAAGCACCTGGTTTATATATATTTTAATGTTCTAGTCCTGTTTTGATAGGAGCAAAAAAGCTGTTAAAAATATTTAAGCAGTGAGTGTACATTATATTCTATTAGGCAGCCATCTGTTAGGCCTTGACAAAGGCTTTGAATAAAATATTGTGGCTCAGGCTTAGCCCATGAAGAATCCAAAATGGAAGGAACGTAGTATAGCTCTCTTAGGTCAGTGATTAGGATCCCGAACAAGCTTCTTTCAGCAAGAAAGATAACCTGAGTGCTTGAAGAGTTTTCTTCTAAAGACAAACCCGTTGCCATCGAGTCAATTCCGACTTATTGCGACTCTAAATGACAGAGTAGAACTGCTCCATAGGGTTTCCAAGACTGTAAATCATTACAGGAATGATTGCCACAACTTTCTTCCGTGGAGCAGCTGACAGGTTTAAACCATCAACCTTTTGGTTATCAGCTGAATGCTTAACCACTGCACCACCACGGCTCCTTCCTAAAAACAAAGGAACCAACTTTTAAGTCCCGCGGTATGTTCTCTAGGATAGCCACTGGTGAAGTAGCTAAGTTTCCTTGTTTGAGTCATCTGTCCAGATGCAATGTAAACCCTAGCCAAGGTCATGTTGATGTTCAGAGCCTTTGTTGACTTTTTCTTGTCTCTGTGTTGCAGTCTGACCTATTAAAAGCAAACAAAAAGGATGTGAACTAACATTTCAATGTGATAATATAGCTAAGCAAGAACACTTTTTTTCTTTTTTTTCTTTCTCAGGTCAGCATTTTCTTCCCAAGTTGAGTTCAAATAAGTAGGACTTTGAACTATGACTTCTGAAAAGACAAACATAACGTTTATCCCCACATCTGAGAAACGTATTTAGCTTGCAGGAACATAATGCTCTCTATATGATAATCTATATTAAATTAACATCTGGTAGTTAGAATGTTTCATTCTTGTGCTTTTTTAGACCCAATTTATTGAATTTGAGAATAATATTTATCACTGGAAGGGTAAGGAATGCAATATGATTGGTAATCAGTGTAAGTCCGTTTAAAATATGAGCATATATTCAGATATTGGACTGTTTCTCTTCCTCTCTTCTATTCCCTGCACCCCCAAAATAATTATTTTAGCTCTAGCCATTCAGAAATGCTATAATTTCTGAAATGAGAGGACAGAAATGGAAGAATCCAGAAATGCCAGAGAATGATGATATGATTAATATTTTATACAATGGCATGTATTTGGCTTTTGGACCATTTTATTGCTGAGTGGTACTTTGTGCAAGTAACTCTTCCAAGCCCTTTCTTGCCATACTTTTCTGGTGCCAGCTCCAGATCATTCCATGAATATGGGAGGTTAATTTACTTAGAAGCGAACTTAATAGAGTTAAGCGATTTCTTTATTGTTCTTATGAATTCCAAGTAGGAAAATAAGTTGAAATTGCTGCAGAAATTTTAACATGTTTCAAGTTTGATACCAAAGTTGGGGGTAGAAGGCCATGAAAATTCTGGGTTTAATTTAGTTTGCACATAAAGTTGGTGCAAAAAAGTAGTATTTCTCTAGAGGTTACATTAATTTTGTTTGTTTGTTTAAATAAAGTCAGATTGAAATACTGAATTATCTTTTCTGGTTTCTAGGCTTACAGAAATTTGTCTTTGAATGGTTATTAGGAGACTCTGTTGTCACCTGACTTGGAGAATTCCAGTATATGGTTTTTCAGTGCTCAGGAGGTGTGTGAAAGGAAAATAACCGAAAGCACGAATAGCCAGAATGGTGCAGGTCGTAGTAATGGACATGGCTGTGACTTTAATGAGTTTACTTGCCCACTGACAATGAAACGAGATCTTTATGAAATAGAGGCTTTACCTTTGTTGAGCTGGTGTTCAGTGCAGGGCTAGGCACTGTGAGATATACGGGACCCATCCCGTGGATCTAGATTAGGCTGCCAGCTCTCTGCTCTTGCTCTCTGCTCCTGTTGTACACTGTACTTCTCCTCCAAGGATCTTTATCTCTCCTTCCCTGCTAGACCATAGCCTCCATAAAGGCAGGGACCTACAACTGCCCCTGTTATGATTCTCTTCCAAGCCCACAGAGCCTTAATGAATTTTGCTTGAGTGAAGAAGTTTTACAGTTTTAAAATACGAAAACACACACACACACACGAAATAGTTAATAATCAAAGCTATACAGGGGCCACCTAGGGACCTATATAAGGGTAGCATATGCTCAAATTAAAAAAATGATTCCATCAATAAGTGCTCATTTTGAAATTCAGGAGCCCAAGGGTCCATTTAGATTGGGGTTATAAATAAAAACATAAAGAAGATGGAATTTAAAGCACCTTACTTATGGTGCAGATATTTAAGGAGTTAAATGAGGAGCTTCAGGTGCAATAGCAATGATGTAAATAGCACCCAGTATGTGCTATGCACTGTTCTAAGCACTTTACATGGATTAATCTTTTTAATCCTTACAATGGCATATAAAATGGACACTATCACTATGCCCATTTTATAGATGGCAAAACTGAGGGAGAGAAAGTTAAGCTACCTGCTCAGAGTCACCCAGAAAGTAAGTGGTGGATCTGGCATTTGAACACAGGGACTCTTGCTCCAGAGTCTATGCACTCCACCACCCCACTGAGACCTCCAGCTGTTCCCTGCTGCCTCTCCAAGGTCTTCATTTGGCTTTAGTACATCATATACAGTCATTTTGAACATAACCTTAGCCAGCCCATCCTAATAAATTTCTCCCAGAATTGTGACTGCTTTTACCTTTTCTCTTCTTATTCTGGGGCAGTAGTCCAATATTAACACCCCAGTCAGTAGATGTTCTTGACTTACAGATATTAATTAGATACAGGTGCTGCTAATGTTCAGCTGAGTTCATATAAATTGACAGTCAAGAATGTAGAGTTTTAATTACCTTGTTGAAATATTGTGATTTATAAGATCCTTTGCTTTGTACATCAAGTACAAGCAGGGTGCACCTTAGAAAAATCTTTGAAGTAAAAGTTAATCTCTACGGCCCTATTTTAAATCACCATTCTTTCTGCATTTACTAACGGAGGCATTTCAGTTTTAATCTGAATACTGCTGGGATACAATGGGGAGAGTCTGTTAAACAGCCGAGTGACAGTACACAGACTTATGGTTTGGGGAGATCACTCTGGCTGTGGTGTGGAAGATATGCTGAGGAGGTGTGGGGCTAGGATGCAGGGCCAGGGAGTTGGTGATGAAGGTCTGAACCAAGGCAGAGGCAGTAAGGAAGGAGAGAAGACAGATTTGATAGGCTCTGATAAATCCTAACTTTATATTGATTTGAAGTGGCTTATTATGAAAATGGCATCTTTGCCTTTCCCCAACTTTTATATCTCATAGATTCCACATCTGAGGGCTAAAAAGACATTTAGAGATGCCCTAAGCACCACCTTCCCTAGCCAGATCATTTAAATTGGCTAAAAATTCCATTTTCATCCTCATCTTCCAATCCTTTGACTTCTGTTTTTACTCAGGTTTCTATTTCAATCTCTCCTTTGATAGCACCTTTTTATTATACCTTTTCTATCTTTATTCTTTAATGTGCTATATTTTATCTAATAGATCTTTTCTCAATGACACACCCCACAGCCTCTCCAGTAGCTTACTCTGACACCATTTTATTGATGTGTTGGTCAGTAATTACTTTATCCAGCTGAATTATATGGACATAATTTATTTTATTTTGGTTTTCATCTTGTCTGTGTATAGAGAACAACTGGTAGAATGAAATAAATCTTCATACTTTACCATATTAGTATTTGTTCTTTA